GAAATTTATGGTCCGGTATAACACGACTGAAATAAATAAATAGAGAGAGAGATGTTAATTAACATGCTGCAATAGCCTATATCAGATAATAGCAATGCAATTGCAGACCACATATCTAAAAAAACAAAACTGACACTTCTTGAGATCCTAATGAATCTAACGCATGTCAAATAACCCAAATAAAGTATCGTTTTGACTTAGACTGAGGATGTCAAATTCATTCCATATTTCAAAATATCTCAACATTTTTACAAACTAATAAGCTGTTTTGGCTACCATTAAATTTCACTCTGAAAATAGGTATAAAAATAAAGACTTCTTGTCTAGGATGATAAATGCCTAGAGATGTAAACAGTGGTGCCAGATTAATCATTACAGATGCCCATCAACACCCAAAGCAAGACCTGGTTATTGATAAGAGCCCATGAAAATCATGATACGTTGCTGTTATGCGCAAAAATAAATCGAAAAGATCAACTGCATAGCACATTTTCACAGTAGTGCTCAACAAATATGCTTACTAGAATACAATACTCAGGTTGAATCATCTTCCCTGGTAAGGCCTACCAATGACCCAGTCATCCTGATAGAGGAAACTATACAGACACCAGTCTTATTTCTTTAGGGGAAATATCATGACAAGGAAATAAACTGTAGATATTTCTGTTGAAATGCTGAAAGATTCAGAGAATTGTTCCATTTACGTCTGCTTGTGTATAGTACAGTATTTCGAGCACAAACTGCCCGGCTGTGCTTTGGATCTACCAGCAGATGTGTTATTCTCCACCACAACCAGTCTTATGCACTCCAATCACGTTTCACACTGGAACCCTCTATGTTAAGTCTTGACAGCCACTGAAAACTGTTTATGGAAGAATCAAAAGGTGCCTGTTCAGGACCACCATTCTTCAGACTCAGTAAGTAAATCACATCCTACAAGTTTTCCTTAACAATGAACTTTTCCGAGCTCCAACTCTGACTCTGCTTTCAGATGTCCAGTAGCTCATTTTATATGCTATGGTAACATCACACAGAGAGCACAAGCAAGCAACAGCATCTTGCTTACTGACAGCCAATCAGGTAATCCCTGTTCTACTGTTATGCAGAATTAAAGCTCATATTTAAATTTCATCATACAGGTCTATTATTGGATTTCTCTCATAGAAGCTTATATAAAACAATGACTGGGGCACAAACAATTAAGATGCTCTGAAGACATTTTGTGAAAATGTCACAAGGTCACCAAAATGGCACTTCAGTAGTTGCCTCAACTGTTAGGCCATACCACCACTCTGTAGACTGTAGTACAACAATAAGATGTCAAAGAAACAGACATAAATTAGTAATATTAAGAATACATTGATGTTTGCACGCATAAGAACTATATAGTCTAGACTCTCATCCACATTCCAGCAAACCTGATATTAATTCAAATGTCCTGTTCACATAAAATGCATTACGATAATGATCTGACAAGAATGTCAACATCCATGGTACAACACCAATACTATGTACTACATATAAACAGGTGAAGAAAAGCCTCCCACTGCTTGCAGCTTCATCGGGTATTCCAGGCTGCAGGCTCTTGTACCAACTATACTTGTAAAGAAAAGCAATGTTAGCAATTAAACAAATCATGAAAACAGAGAAAGAGATCTGTATTCGGCCATGTAAATGAATTAAAAAAAAACACAGGACTAGGAACTAACTAAAAAGTAACAATTAGACAAGACATTCCTATTTCTTCCTTGATGTTTTGATGCATTTTAACCAACAGATTCAATAATTGTATTTCAAATCAGAATTATTCTTTAGCCCAACATTGTTAATTCTTCAGTTGCAAAGAATAGCATTGCTGTGCTTTCATGAGTCCTTTACCTGCCATTAACAGCACCAGGTCAGAGAGTAAAATGGATATAAGAAGCACAAATGCCGCTCCCACAAAGGAAAACCACCTATGCATTCCTGCAGCTTAAATCACACGCTCTTTTGCATGGGGTGTGGGGCATGACACCTTGATTGGCTTTTGCTGGAAACTTGACAAAGGCCTACCATGCCAAGACGGATTGCCACACACTGTCTACGCAGTTGTCTCAATCAAAACGTTAACTGTCTGCTGTGCTCGGATGGGCCATCTTTGGTTATTTCTTATCAGAAATAGTGTCAACAATGCTTACATCCCTATTCCCCCCCCACCCCCCATCTTTTTGAATGAGCATCACTCACTACAATGGAAACTGATGGAAAGTATTAAACATTAATTTCTTACATCGCTACAGTGCTTTTCATCCCCCAAAACCCCAGTGTTCCACATATTTCAGGGGAACCACTTCATCCACCACTAAAATGTAGCGTCCAACTGAGTGACACGCAGCAGCCATTATGCACCAGAAGGCTCACTACATAGCAGATGAGGCAGAGAAGTGAAAATGACTTCAATTGAGTTGAGGGGGCAATTCAGAGAGGGCCGATTGTGCAAGCCAAAAGCAGAATGACACTTCTCTTACAAACAGCAACACGTGATACTTAAAAGTCATGTAGTCAGGACTTCAGTTTAATGCTCTATACAAAGGTCAGCACCTCTTACATTACACTGTCCAGTTGCCATAATAGGCTTTGACATCACTGTACAGAAGGAAAAGTGCCACCTACTGGTCTATCAATACCACTTACAGTGGCAACCTGGTCTTCCATCCCGAATTTGACAATGTCCAACAAGATAGGATGAGATCAGGCTACAAGATGGTAATGCTCCTCCATACTTTGATGTGCAACGGAGTTATAGCCTATCTGGCAAACAATGGACACAAGACAAGATATACCCTGGACGGGACGCAAGTATGTCCCCGGACCATGGTAGGAAACCAGAGCACCAGGCAGAAACTCACATGAATGCAGGGAGAATATAAAACGCCATGCAGATAGTTCCCCAGACACTGAACCCAGGGCTCCAGTGCTATGATGCAGCAATGCTAACCTCTGCACCACTGCGCCATCTGTGCACAAAAGACACCCATCCATTCTCTAACCTCTTCATCCAGTTCAAGGCTGCGGGGGGACCTAACCCAGCAAGCAGGGGGCGCAAAACAGGATAGATCTTGGACAGGATGCTAGTCCATTGTAGGGCACACACTCACACCAGAATTTTTCTAGAAGCCAATTAAGTCATCTTTAGGTTTATGGGCTATGGGAAGAAACCAGAACACCCAGAGGAAACCCACATGAACACAGAGAGAACATATAAACTCCACACAGATAGCAGCCTAGGTCTGGAATTGAACACCGGGCCACACTGCTGCGAAACAGCTATGCTAACCAACTTTTACAGCCACCATGCCAGCCACCACAAAAGACGTTCACCATTTGATTTTTTTCTAAACTGTAAATTGTTTGGTAAAGCATTTTAAATCCTGACAGACTCAAATTTAGCAAGTGTCACCATACAGATTTCACTGCCCATTTGTGTCATAGTAACAGTTTTACTACTATAGTTTACATTTTGGCAAAACATGACACTGGACTACAGGAAATGTCAAAACATGTTTTTATTTCTCTCCCCCAGTACATTGATCTCTCTCTAGCTATGGAGAAATACACACAAGAACAAAAAAAAATTGTTTTCCAGAAATCAACATGTGCTCGCATAAAAAATAGCAAAACTAACATACCATTAGCAGGTATTGGCACTTACAAATTATTTTAAGTAAAAATATATATAATTCCCCCCCATGTCTGTAAAAGACTACTGGTAGACTGGTAGCAGTTTGGATTATGTTCCTAAAGCATTTGTAAAAGTTGACCTAAATTTGAAATTTCTATAAACTTTGTATGTGGAGTTTTTATGTGCTTTCTGATCATGTTTCTTTTTCAGGAATTTCATAACATTTTACTGCTTTTTGTGACATGACTGAAGAGATAAATAATATAATAGAGTCTATATGATCAGACTGTTACAACCTCTCAAGAAACTAAAAGGCTGAAAAACATGGAAATTCCTGAGAACTTAATCAACCTCGGCCCTGCTGTCACTAAAAGTCAAACTGCACAAATGAAAATCCCTTATTGACACCTCCTGCTTGAGTTGCAAGACATGACCCAATATTCAGGAATAGCTTGATCAACATTTACCAATATACTAAAAAAACATTTTTTCCTGCGTAATGTAAGACACTGGGCCTCTCACTGTACGTCACTTCGAAACCGAAAATGTGTTTACGTAAAAAAAAAACAGACTTTTGTCTACGCGTTGTTTTAAAATGCCTACTTCTGAAGACAATGGTGCGTGATTGATCATCACAGATGCCAATCGGCACCCAACCCAAGGCCTGAATATACGAAAGACCCCATGAAAGGCATGATATACTGCGGTTATGCACAAAAATAAACCAAACACAAATCAATTACATGTTTAGATTATTAACATTTCCACCCGTCACTAGGTCGATTCTAGTGTTTAGTAAGCTCCTGTAGCTAAGTACAGCCTCAACTACGCAGTAAACCCACCGTAAACATACACCATAGTACTGCTTGCTATCAGGGATACCATTTAAAAGACAAATGATTGCTAAGGGGGTTGCCAAGTAAGTTAACATTAAACACTACACCCCCTCAAACAGGGAAGAACACTAAGACGAAAAACACAACGCAAGTAACTATTTAGTAAAACACGATGTGTTAATAATAATTTTGGGGGGGAGAAATTCTTTCATTGTTTAAAATAAATGTTATCATAGTTACACTGGAAACGACGATCCCCAAACAGTACTCACATCAGCAGGGATTAGGAGCAAGCCAAGCCAAACAAAGCGCGGCCTATCCTATCGGCCACTAAAGCGAAGCCTCGCGTTTTCCTAATGTGAGTCTACCAAACAGTACGGCCCACAGCCCACCGGCTGTAAACAGGGCACAAGGCGAAATCGTTTTGCATTGTACGTAACACTACAGTAATATCTTTCAAAAACACAACCTTTCACCGGTAATATATAAAGACTAATTCTTACCTCTTTCTCCGTTGTTCCTTTCCGGCTGCACCGGGCGCGGCCTCGACACTCGCCTGGGTCTTCTGTTGGTTGCTCTGACGGAGTTCATTTGGGGAGTTTATTATTTTTTAAAAAATTCGAACCCTTCCCTATAATTTGCCTAAATTTTCTTAACGTTCAACCCAATTTAAAATTCCGTTTTCCCCCTAATGTAAAAAAAATGCTTATCCCGTCTCGGAATCGTTATTTTTTGGATGTTATTTATGTTTTTCTTAATGCTCCCCCTGTACTCCTCTGTCTCAGCTCCGTCTCACTCTGGCAGGAGGAGCCATTTACTCACAGAGAGACACACTCACAAAAAAATATCACACGGGAAGACTCTCCACCAATCGCAGGCAACGGTTCATAGTTTTTAGAAGCCACTGCAAATAGGAATGCCTCTTTTAAAATACTTAGTAGGGTTCTGACTTGGATGCCGGAGAGTGGAAATAAAAAGGTACCACAAAATCGTTAAAGCGCAGTTCGGTGAAATACACCATCGCCTTAGCTGGGCCAGCTAGGCAATATAGTCTTGTTATCACTTTCAGCTGACAGGAAACTGATTTCTAAATCAAATGCGTGGAAAGAGTCATCATTAGTTACAGCCATGATATACTTGCATGTTATTAATGCACAAACCGTTGTTGCATTTAAAGGTGCATAGACTCAGCATTCGTTGCATTCCATATTTTCATCATTTTAGATTATGTCTCGTCTGTGTAGATTTAAGGATTTTTTTTTTAAATAAGATAATGCGATGTATGCTTTCCTTATGTATATTCAAAAAAAATATTTGCATGCTGACCAAAACCACGGATAATTAGTATGACGTATGAGAAAGTCTTAATGAGTTCTGTACGCATGCAATATTTATTTTACTGGTATGCCTCTACATAATAATTAGTCATTAGGGAACAATACAGCCATTTCATAGTATGGGGGGAGGGGGGTCGTTTAATAATAGGAACAAAGGTTTAGTCACGGAGGAAATAAAGGCACCAGTATTTATAATAGCTTATTTTGGGTTGTTGGTTTTGTTCATTTTATTTACTTAGAATCTCCATCTACAAAACAATATTCTATACAAGAAACTTGAAAAAATTACTTGATCCTATAAGATGACTCACTCACCTGGGCCAAACACATCAGGAAGATCACAAATGAAATGGGGCTGTTTGAAATCACTTTGAAACTCCTCCGTAACATTGTCCTTTAAAGGGACAATTTGAAAACTCTGATATAACCTGAAATCTTTGTGAGGTGGGAGAAAACTGAAGCACCCAGCGAAATCCCACGTGAACATGCAAATTCTACCGAGACAGGTGCCCAAGCAGAAATAAAGCCCAGGAGGCAAGGAGTAGACACCATGTCACTTGACCTTTTATGCCTTGATAAAGACTGTAGAAAATAATTACAAACAATACAATGTAATGAAGGACAATGAATTGAAGAAGTGTGGTCACTCAAATTAAAATCAATATAGTTCAAGTAGGTAGATGCGTCAGCATGCGTAGGCTGCAAAGAAACAAGTAAAGGTTTATTTCCTGCTGAAAAGAAAAGGAAGGAAACAACATTTCGGCTGTGGAGCCTTCTTTGGGTGTACATTGAAGAGCGTTGATACCTGAAGAAGATTCCACAGCTGAAATGCTGTGTTTCCTTTCTTCTTTTTTCAGCATGAAATAAACCTTAACTTGTTTCTTAAAATAAAAATATGTTGTTTCCTCACTGTCTGTTTCAATGTAAGATACGATAAGATCACTATTGGCCATACACAATTTCTTGCATTAGGAATTTGTCTTTTTCACATATCCCAACTTGCTCTCCATGAGACACACAGACAGGGAGAGAAGCTTGGGGTCAGAGCACAGGGTCAGCACCCCTGGAGCAGTTTGGGTTAAGGGCCTTACGTAGGGGCCCAACGAAGTAGGACTCCTCTGCCGGACGCTGGATTTGAACCAGCAACCTTCCAGCCACAGGTGCAGATCCTTCCAGCCACAGATCCACTGCACCTCCCATGGTAATACTCTGTACTGTACATACTGTACTGTGAAGTGTAGCACTAACACAGTCCCTGGAATGACACAAAGTGTAATGGGTACTAAGCACCGGTTAATAGCAACATGTTCACACAAATGCTGGAGTAAACATGAGGAGAGATTTGTGTTTTCTAATTGTAAACATAGAAGGCCTGATGCAAGAAAACATTTCTTCTCCCCTGAAAGGTGATCTCTAAGCCCAACCCTAAAACTACAAGATTATGATTTAGTTGATAAGAAGATCCTGAGCCATTTCAGCCTCTTTCCACTCCAAACCCTTCTGCAAAATGGCTTTCTGCACTTCACCCTTATGGGGCTGAGTTAGAATTTCATTTAATTTTTCTCAGTTTAATTCTTCTGTTAGTTTTTACAATGGTTTCTGTGCCAAGGGCATTTGTTTAAAGACTCATAGGTTTGAAATTACTTGCATGTACTAAAACACCACCAGGTTCTTATTAATCCAACCAACCAACTGTCCCAGTTGTTAATATCTGGCTAAACATTAACTGCACTTATCTTAACAGTCCAATGGCAATTTGCCTGTGTTTCTAGTATGTATTTTTAATTACAGCTGCTTTTCCCAGACTAATAGCTAATAGCTTTAGCATGTAGTTGGTACATAGACACAGTGGATATATTCAGTGACTTTGTACAGGTTTAATAATCTCCAGTTGTTTACATGATTTAAAAACAGTATAAATACAGTATGTAAGAGCTTTTGGTGAAATGTCTCCATCACATATTGTTTTAACTTTTTTTGACATTGATAATGCTCACTGTAAATTCATACCTGATTCACACCTGTATGAAATATGTGGACCAATGGATTTTAATGGTCATTAAATTTTAATGACCACTCTCTGTGGTCATTAAAAAATCCCAGGGCGTTTCTCGAAAAGAGTAGGAGTGTAACCCCGGCGTCCTAGCCAAGTTTCCCATTGGCCCTTACCAATCATGGCCTCCTAATAATCCCCCTCTATGAATTGGCTTCATTACTCTGCTCTCTTCCCCACTGATAGCTGATGTGTGGTGAGTGTTCTGGCGCGCTATGGCCAGATTATTATTATTATTATTATTATTATTATTATTATTATTATTATTATTATTTGACTGCTCAATTTATGACAGGGCTGACCTCACGAAGGTCCATACCATAATTTGAGCCCTTCCCATTTCTGGAAAGGTATGTGTTACAATGCGATCCAAAAATAAGGAAATCCAAACATCTATCCATTATCAGGAAGCTACTTATCTGGGAAACTATCCCAGAAGCATAGAATGATTAAAAAATATATATTTCCCAAACCAAACACTATTCCTTTGCAGGACACACACTTATATTAAAGCATGTGTGTACAGTATAAACATTGATAGTTTAGAGACACAAATTAACTTCTCCAACTTCAGCATGTGAGAGAAATAAGTTTTTTTTATCTTGTTTTGGGTCCTAGATGTAGAACGGTTTACTATATCCCACTACTAAAGAGTCACAATTAAAACCTCTGGGACAATGCTAGAATGAATGATTTATCAGTGAGTCTGATCTTGTATATTTATGTTTTGTTTTTTGGGGGGCAAATTTAAAGCAAATAACAGTATTCACAGGCTTGTTAAATTGTATCTTGGCACCAAAAGAAGCTGATGATGGTGTGGGATCCAGGTAGAATACTCAATATCTTTCCCAAAATATAATACAGCAAAACACTGATTGCATCACATTTTGGGTGTGTCCTTTGTTAAACCAGCAACTCAAGTAACCACGGAGTTTTGCTTCATGGTAGAAGAGGCAGAGGTGCACCTTTCAGTAAATTATTGCAGAGACTTTTTAGGGAAAAAAAAATCTGCTCAGGTTGCTATCCCCTAAACAAACGTTCTGGTGAAGGAGGACCCCTTGAATGCTTACTTTTATCATTTCATATTTTGGGAACCACCTATTACGTCTCTGTTTATATTGTCCACATTTTGGATCTGCCAAATGATAACAAGCCCGACTCTTTCACTTTGCCTATTGACAGGTTAACCCAAGTGTATGCAGCACAGGTAGACACAACTGTGCAGCTCAAAATGCTGCAGCTCTCTTTTTCAAAAACCCAGACAGTGCTTGCCCAAATGCACACTGCCACTTGGGGATTCTCATTAGTGGATGATATCTAGATTATCAGATTATTAGAGTTTTTAATTGCATAATCTCTCAGGCACTCATTTCTTTTTCTACAGTATAATAAAGTCAATTCCTGTCTGAAAAATGAAGAATGGTTTTCATACAGTTTAGATTAACGTCTCCCTTTTGAAAGTTAAATAAACACTGATTAGCCCTTCCAGTGAAAGAATATGCTGTGAATTTTCCAGACAGTAAAAGGAATTTGGTTAAGAAGCTGTTTATGATGGCTTGCTAACTTTCCAGAAGCCCCCCTCTGTACTACTACTACTCAACCCTAACCTCTATCCCTAAGCATAACCCCAGCTTTGGCTCTCAATTGTGCGTACAGGCTGCTGAAGCTGCATACATTCAGACACGTCTGGGGAATTTATTATTGGAAGAACTGGCAAACTGCACCTGTGAAGGAGAGCTGCTTCTCGGTTGTCTGCCCCTGCAGAGTGTGCGTTTCCGTGGCTCTGGGCTGGCACAAAGCCACCACTCTGTTTCTCACACACGTTTCCTTCGCAACAAGTCAGCCCGTGTCATCAGGAGCTGACTGTGGCTTTGCTGTTGTCGTGGGTTAACTGGGCGCAGCCCTCCTACTCCAGCAATTAAAAAGAAAAAGATCCGTGCCCTGCTGATCAAACGTTTGTACTGCCTCGACCCCCCATCACCACCAAGACCTTGCTGGTCTCTCCTCTCTCAACACACCCTTCACCCTCACTGCTTTCCTGTCATAGTACAGCTCAGCCACCCATATTCATCAACTTCGGCCACGTTATTTTCTAATAAGAGACTGAAACAATACCCTGCTTAAGTGACAAATAAGCGTGGTTCGACAATCAATGAAATAAACTATTCTATTTTCCAAAGTAATACATTTTCTTGTTGATGTGCATATGCTGTGTGGCTTTCTTGCACAATTTTAAACTTGCAAGCCTTTAAAATACTACTACTAAAGCTAGTAATTGCAATATTAGTGTAAATATTTGTAGTATACTGTTTGGCACAAAAAGAAATAAATCCTTTAATTACATTTACTGTGCATTTCTTAAATACTACAGACACATATTGTGTTTCAGTTACAATAATTGTCTTTCCAACTCATGATCAACTGGGCAGCATTGTCATTGCAAAATAGTACCACCTGCTGGGAAACCAGGGAACAGCACCAACTATGTACTCATTCCTTGCATTTCATTGGCATTAAAGTACAGAGTAGCATTCTAGTGTACACTTACTGCTGCCTACCAGCG